TTTAAAAATCTATCTCCTCCTACAGTTTTCAAGCTACAGCATTTGAAGAATACCATTTGATTTGTAAAGACCAATTGAGTAACACAGCCCCACTTTTTATTTTTATCTGAGCTTTTTTATACGCATTTTCCAGGTTTCTTATTTTCTTCTGATTTCTCCACCCTCCCCCCATTTTCAATCCAAACTATGCACAAATCTAAAAAAGGGGCTTTGTTGCTCCATAGGTATGGTCTTTACGAATCAAATGGTATATCTTTCAATCAGGGTTGGCAATGATTAAATCAAAATGATTAAATCACTTGATTTTTTATAAAAAATTATGATTTTTTTTATTATTTTGATTTATTTGATTTTTTATTTTTTCATATATTTAAATATATTGAGTGGCAGTCTTTAATTTATATTGAGGTATTGTTATCCATGGCTTAGTATAAATGTACTATGAATGACAAATTGGTATATAATCTTTTTGCCTTTAGTGTGTATTAGGTTTCAATAAATTGAATATTTTTGGTACAGAGGCATCAAGTGTGCAATACATTGTATGTAGCTAGCAGCTTAGCTAATTCTTATAAGGCTACCTATAATTAGTCCTAAACTATTCGACTATTTGTTATATATTGGTTACAATATACAATTTATATGTGTTAGCTAGCTTATAAAGGGTGGGGCAGAACTGATTGACAGTTTTGAGGCGAAATAAAAAGAGTAATGGAGGTACATAAAGATGAAAGTTTAATTTCCTCAAGATTAGCATAACATACCATTTAAAATACTTATGTTTTGAAAACAATATCAGGAAAATGGGGTTTGTTAGCTGCATTACACTGTTGGAGTCATTCTTGGAAGTTTTCTACAGCATGTTCACACATATGGTGAGGAATGGCCATAACCTCTGCTGCAATAATCCATTCCCTTAGCTGTGGTAGGGTGTGAGGGTGACTTCTGAACCCCTTTCTTTTAGATATCCCCAAAGAAAGAAATCACAAATGTTGAAATCAGGTGACCTTGCAGGCCACTGTAAATCACCCCTCAGAGTCTGGAACATGCGTTTCAAAATATTGAGTGACATTCAGACTGTGTGAGCTGTAGCACCATCCTGCTGGAACCACAGGTCCCCCTATGCTTCATTTTCAACCATGTTTTCCATCATGGGCTGCAAGAAATTTTGTAACATTGCAGCATAGCGATCGGAATTCACTGTTACGGTTACTCCCTCCTCTGAGAATGACTCCAACTGTGTGTTGCTGCTAACGGCCCCCATCTTCCAGATATTGTTTTCAAAACATAAGTATTCTAAATGGTATGTTATGCTAACCTTTCTTCTTTGCTAAACTTTTTTCTTTATGTACCTCCATTACTCTTTTATTTTACCTCAAAACTGCTCAATCGGTTCTGCCCCAACCTGTATATTGAGAGGTTGAGATTGTATTGAGCTTTTAGGCAATTAGAAAGATTTTCCGCCCTAATACGAGTATTCTAATTAAAATATTTAATTTCAATCTTTAAATATGTGAATTTAAAACTAGAAACAAAACAATTACAATTATAAGACTATATATAAAATAATTAAATGCAGTGAATGAATATAAAATATTTTAATTGTGCACATGTTTATTTCAAACAGTATTAGATTTTCTCATAACTTAAGTCATGTTTCAAGTTGTATGAGGTTTGTTTGGTTATCATTCAGTTTATGTTTAGTATTGGTTTTTGGTGTGAATTAAATGGGAACAGTGCAGTCAGTCACTCAGTCACTACTAGTCGGTGTGTAATGTGTAAAGAGGGTAGAGTCTGGTAGATTTATAGGACATAAAACTAGTAGATCTATAGATAGTGCTGTGCACTGTGCTATCAGCTACCTATCTGTTATATGACTCTTCAATGTTTAGAAGATCTGCATTCCTGAAGTGTTTTTGTATATTGAAGCCAGTTAAATGGTCAATATTTAGCTCATTACCTTGCTCCATACAAATTTTACAAAGCTAATGAATAGACTTACCAATAATTGTTTACCCAAAAATCCCTAAGTGGTAAACACCACCTTGGCCTGTTGGCCATTATTGAAGGCAATAAGTGCCCTTTGTAGCCATCCATTATGATCCATATACTGTTATTGTTAGTAGGCTAATTGCAACATAAAAAATAACACTTCAAAAAGACAAAAAAGTTGAAAAAATCAAAAAAATCAAATAAAAAAATCATTGATTTTTTATTTTTTAAAAAAATAAAAAAAATCACCAACCCTGCTTTCAATGCTGTAGCTTGAAAACTGTAGGAAGAGGTAGGTTTGCAGTGACAATAAGTTAACTTTTCAGTAGAGCCAGACAAAGTCTCGCGCGCATTGGAATAGTCGCTCAATGTAGCAAAGATACAAGACTAAACGTTACTGGAACTCGATTCCAGTCAAGGTGGTGGGAACGACTGCATGCACACCACCCCATATGATGCCAGGCGGGTAACTGAAGTGCAGCTGAAGCAGACACTCTATTTAAGAGCTTGGCAGCTAATTTCCCCCTATCTTAAATGTTAAAGAACTCCACCACCCCTAACCCTTTAGCGATATGTCGTGAACGCATAAATCAACATACAGTGATGGTTATGGTACCATTGGATAGGTCAGAATGTCAGCTTTAAGATGAGACTTCTAATCGGAAAAGGCAAAATCCAAAATTTAGGCTATACTCCCCCTTAAACAAGCGTTTAAAAACAATTCAGGAAACTGCGCAATTGTGAAGATTTCCTGGAGGCGTAGCACAAAATTTTATTAAATTCAGAGATAATCTAAAACTAGCTTTAGTATTATTAGGAATATCTTACCAGGACTCCACTCCACTGTCTACTAATTGGCTAACTAATCTAGACCCTGCGTCCCAATGCGCTCCGTGGAACCTGAACTCGTTCCAAACACATATGAACTTGGCTTGTACTCGTACGGTTCCCATAAAGTGCCATGGAAGCCTTAGTTAAGACTTAAGGGTAACATTTTTTACTCAATACTCAGCCATACATCGACAGGTTTGTGGTGTTTGTCGGACCACTAACTAACTGCCATGTCAGTCAGACAAATTTTGCTAAATCTGCAATTAACTCAATTTAACTGGTAACTGTCTATGGCCCTATTAACAATAAATGGCTAACTTGTCATTCTTCAACCCATGTTTTCAAAACAATTCATATTGTAATAAAAAAACTTGATTTGTCCTTAAGACTGCATCATCCCGCTCAGCTGCATTGGTCGCTTATGGAATTTCTTAACTATTACTAGGTCCAATAACTCCCCTCATAAATAAGATCCAAGTCTGAAATTTGGAATGCCATCCTGGCTAATTATTTTAAATACGTAGACATTAAGATAAATTATGTAAACTTTTTATTTCAACTGTTATCAGGGAGGATGAAATTTTGCACCCCGGTGTTCGTAAAGTGTGTGACTTTTCCAGCATTTTCTCGATATACATCAGTTTAACTATTTTTTCTTCATTCATCGATACCCCAAACATTTCCAAATTATTAATCTAGTATTAGATATAAGCACTTGAAGCCAAAAGGTAGGTGAAACTTTGGTAGATTAAAGCACGACCAGAGCTTTGGTTGTCATGCTCTCCTGCATTCTCTTCAAGGTAAACATGCACTCTTCTTTCCCTGCCCACTGGTCTGGTTAATAAATTAATCATTGAATTAAATGAGCTGGAATATAGCATTTTAAATTCTATATGTACATGATCTGTACAGTAATTAGAACATTCATGTAAATGTGTAAATTTTTATCAGAAGTTCATCAAATATGGTTAAGACTTGCATTTAAATTGATATTTTATTTCTTTAGACATTTTTTAAAGTCTAAAAATTAGCGTGTAACAACACATTGCACATTGCTTGATAATCTGTAATATTAATATCAAACTGAATATTAATATCAGCCCGCTAAATTATTATCATACTGAATTACTGATTTAAATTATTATTACTGTGATTATAAAAATTATGATTTATATGATAATAAAAGGCAAAAATAAATACTTAATTTTAAAGCAAATAACAGGAGCGAAAACCATAATGATGCGAAGTACCGTGGTACGGATTACCATTGTAAAAAAAATTTGCAGCTATATTTGCGCAACTGCTACATTAGCATTACATGGGACTGCACGTTCAAATAAAGTTTCTATCCTAAATTGTTGAAGTCAAAACATGCCCAGTAGTTTCTGAGGGAACCGCAAGCACATAAATCTCTCTCTTGGCGCTGTCAAGTGCCCCTTCATAGCAGTGCCTTCTCTCCTTCCCGGACCGTGGGTGGCCAGCAGTCGGCCAGAGCAGGTTAGCTCCGGCCACCTGCTGGCAATTCACCGGCCACCTAAAGCCACCCCTTGCCTAAAACAATATCCTTGAGGCCTGGGGTGTGTTAGCCACAAATATGTTGCTGAAGTGATAACGAGACCAAGGGCTGGTGACGGCCGAACTTACACGCGAGTGCAGATTTTACAAAGATCTGCTGGTCCCAGGGAACTCCGACTTCAGGGAACTCAATGTTCAAATTATAAATTAGTTAAAATTTATGATTATAATATAATAATTATATATTATAATATAGTATTTATATAATATAATATAATATAATAATTATGCCAAATTATAAATTAGTTTACATTAGTCAACAAATGTATGTCTCGACGTAACTAAAAAGTCCCTGCACAATTATTAGTGCAGTTCATACCTCACTATTCTCGCACACCCTCAGCCACGTCACTACCCTGCAAGATGCTGCTGCCAAAATTTACCCTCAGTTCGCCGAGCTTGGAGTTGGAGCGTCCATGAACGGCCTTCTTAATAATTAAGATGAATCTCGTCTCGTCTCATTATGTCTCGTTTCAAATCTGTCTGTCTTGTCCTGGTTCATAAATAACCGGGACATAAGTTTTAAAGTCCGGGACAGAAGTCTTGTCTCGGTTCATACGTTTATTCCGGGACAAATTTTACCCTGTCCCGTTATTTTTTTCCTGGAATTTTCTTGTCTCATTTCGTCTGTCCAGGTTCATTTCAAGAAAATTATTTCGAGACGCAGGAGTCTACTAGGATAACACTGTCTTTAGTGTCTTAATTATAGTATTAAATTGGAAAATACATTATAAATTTTTGTCTGTAGAGTGTAGAATTATTCACACACCAAACATAATGGATCACAAGTATGATGATTGCAGCAGTGACGATGAAGTTGACTACTGCTTTAGCCATCACTACAGTAGGTAAGATCTTAAATATACATTTGGAAATAATCTAGGTATATATATGAATTATAATACACTAAGATACAGTAAGTCAGTAGCTAACTTACTAATGTAGATTGATGCATTGTGGCTCAATGGAAGATTCTGAAATATTTACTCTTTTAATCCTCTTAGGCCTATATAAATAAACAACTTTATATGAAGCAAGTCCAGCATTTATGTCATGTGTAAATTAATTAATTTTTTGTTTTCTTCATTTCAAGTTTGTTTTTTCATACTTGATTGCAATATTCGTACTTGATTGCATATTATACAAGTTGTATTGTTAAGGTCATTGCTTATTTACCTACTTTTACTGCCAAGCCATGTTCAAATTGTGTCAATTTTGTTGTTAAATGGCTGAAATTATTAAATATTGAAGTGATCCCTAATAGTTTTTTTCTTGTACATTTACCAGTAATATGGGACCTCTCTGCAGCCTGCGCTCTATATTAAATGATTTAAATTCTTCTTTGTCAGTTATTGGAGCTTGGAGCTATCAGCTATAGCTATGTATAGAAACTAATGAATAATTCATAACACCTATACTATTTTATTCAGCTATACATTATTAATATTGCATAGCATAGCATGATAGCAATATTCTCATATTCCATCCAGCTCTTTGTGCTCATCAGAGAACATTGAGAAGCCAGCCACTGTGCATGGTATTTATTTTAGTTTGGTAGGCTGTTTTATTTATCAACACTTATCAAATGCTTGACTTGTTATTATTTCTTAACCATGTCCTTCATGAATAATTTAAGGTAAAAGTGTAAAAATTGCTTTTCTTTGCTTGCAGTGCCAGTGACAGTGAGGATGATCACCAAAATAATGAAATTCTACAAATGGTCCTTCAGCAACATGAAGAAAGAAAGAAGAAAGTCTCCAAATGTAAGCTATGGTTTGAAGAGTACTTACCCACTTCTATTCAGAATTTTCTCAGATTTGCCAAAGCAATATGATTGGGCAATTATAAGTTTATGACTTGCCTATATAACTTTTAGTTATATAATTTATAACTCTTTGATGAGAGTTACAAATTGACTGATAATTGAAAGGTATATGGTAAATGTCCTCTAGAACCTTAATGTCAATTCCTAAGTATTGAATAATACATCTATCTTCTATGCAATTCAAATATGAAATACCTATGTTGACTTTTGAGTGCTAAATTTTATATATAATTATACATTAACACGTTGGCCGCGATTGCTGATTTGGCCCGATTGCCGTACGGGCGATAGGTTCAAACTTGTATATCTTCAGTTATACCCGACAGACAGCAAGGAGAAAAGTTGTGTGCAGCAATGCAGGGGTATGTTCTGTCATTGTGTCACATAAAATTGGTGACCATATTTGGTGCACATCACTCAGGGTTGAAATTAGTCATTATTCCTGGCGATGTGTACCAAGTGAAGCCATGCCTGTTGTGGCTTATATTGGCACATGTCACCTAGCGTAATCATTTCGAATACTGTGGGCGATGCATCTATGGCTCATATTGCCAAAAAACGCCTAAATTTATCACTTTTGTTACTGTGAGTGATGCACACAAGTAATCTACATTAGTTTCGAGTCATAATTGCACACATTATGACTCAAAAATAATGTGTGCATAATTGCACACATTATGATTATCTCTTAGGTTTTTGTGAATGATGTATATTGCACATGGAAATTACTATGGAAAGAGATTGGTGTCCAGATTTTCATAATCCTGAATAAAATTGAGGGTATTTACATTGTTAGTTCAGTTATATTTGCCTTAAATAGGTCATTCATCGTATATATTGTCTTCAGCTTCTGTTACAAACAGCCACTCAGAGAGAGTAAAATCAGGATGCATGTAGATGTCAAATTATCAAGTGGGAAAGCGAACAGCACACTTTGATTGAACCAACTAGAACTAAAACCAGGATGCACTGCCATGAATGCTACAACATACTCTCAGCAAATGAGGCAAGTGCCGTAGCAAAGGTGAAACTCAAAGGATAAAAAAATACATTGGTGACTGTGAAGGAAAGTCATACATGTGCGATAATTGTTTTTCAATCAGGTATGAAATATAATGATGTTGGCAACACCCAATTTTGTAGTTTCAGATCAATAAGAAAATATTTTATTTTATTTTCATGCAAAGATAGATATATATATTGCTTTCATCAATTGACACAAATTTCGTAATTTTTTCTGTTACTTGCATTTGAAAATAAAACTATTTCTCTAAGCAGTAGTTGACTTCAAAGCATTCCCTAACATGCCTATTGAATTGTATCATTGAAATTTTAAATTTGAATGAGTAATAAGATTTTATAAAAATATGTACTTTTCATAGGAATGTACCACATGTGTACACATCGCGATTAAGTACAGCATGTACATACATGGTGCACATCGCGGCCAACGTGTTAACATATACACAATACTTGGACATTACATGTTTGCACTGGTTTAGCTTTTTTGTTTTCAATACTTTTCTAGGTATGCTTTTTCTAGCTCCAACCTAACTTCCTGATTGTGGTTGTTATTTATGATAAAAATCCTTGAACCTAAGTGGTGATGTGTTCAAAAATATTGAAATCTTTTATCCAAAGTTTTTCTCTCAATCTTAAATTGAATTAATGACCAAATCCTCCCTGAATATTCAATATAATAAATTTTTCTTTTTTTAGTGCATTTTCTCATTTATGGAAAAAATGCCCTATTGTGCTCGCCATGTCCATCCGTGACTTCAAGTTTTCATTGACAAGAAAATGCACTATCTGTTACTCACTGCAGTGAGTACTGAGTTATATTTTTTTAGTATTGAGTCATGCCATTTTATCATGCAATTTTTGACGCAGTTAAAATTATTGGAATAATTTTTGTTTGATCCTCCCCAGGTGGTTCAAAGGAGTTCCAGTCTGACCCATTTGAAGAAGAGATGGCATGTGAACTAAACAATGCAATGATTGCCATGAGTTCATTTGGCGCCTCAAACTCCAGAGATCATGGACATGAGTCTTCCTCAGGCATCTCTGCTCAAAAAAATGGTGTGGGAGCAGGGAAAATGTGCCTCTTTTATTGCTAATAAAAACTTATAAGTGAAAATTTGGTCTAGAAAAATCTGAATTTCTCCAAATTAAGGTTTCTACTTTAAAAATGTTTCTTCAAACTTTTTCTTCAACACAAATAGTCATGGTTTTGAAAATCTATGTATGTATACTTCAGTTTATCAAACTTTTTTCATGTGCTGCTTATTTCATGTGTTTTGATATAATATTTCTTGAAATAATAATTATTCTCTCTTTAATTATGTAAATAGGTTATATATATAACAGTGCTTTTCACATGCATGGATGAATTATTTCTTGAATTTTTAATCATTTTTCCGATTTAATTCTATGAACAGGTGAGAGCAGCAGTCATACCACAAGTGGACAGCCAGCAGAACAATATGATACTGTTTACTTTGACTCAGATGATGATGAGAACAATGCTGGTAAATAAATATATTAATATGCGATAATAATGAATTATAAACATAGTTTCATAATTTCATGACACTTTCAGTGTTGTTAGCATTGCATTTCTTCAAACTCCTCTCCTCAACTTGATATCATCTGAGCTGTAGTAATATGAATTCATATCGAGGACTTTGGCTGCTAACATTTTTTACTTTTCAAATGACAAGCTAGTGATTTTTAACCTTTGTCAGATTCTACTACGTTATAATTGTCATGATTGTAGGTACAGTTGTACCTATGTAGTCTGACAAAGAATACAAAAAATAATTGGGCAACCTAGCTCTCTAGACTTTCTGATCTTGGCTTTACTTCAATAATTTTTGCTGTCACCAACCATGAAAACAAATCAAGTAGAGATCCACTTTTTGTGGTCCAATACCCATAATCATTTTGGAAATGAGAAAGCAATGCTATCATTATTCAGAAATAGGCCAGTAATGTTACCATCAATGTAAAAATTTTATCACATTTTAATTATTTGTAATTTTAGCAATTAAATTAAAATATTGAGATTTCTGAAACTCACGAGTCTTTTTCATTAATCATATTCACATTAGTGTTTAGAAAATATGTCAACTTCTCTGCCTGTTTTCATGTCTCGAATTTCTATCTTCTTTGTTTTTGATATCTGTCACAGACGTGCAGCAGCGCCGCAAGACTGTCTCTGATGCTGACTTGCTTTATGATCCCACCCTCGATGACCAAGACCAACTGTGGATGGACCAACACCGACGGAGTTGTTTTTCTGCCAAAACCAAGACAAAGCGTGGAGTGCAGTGAGAGCTAATTTTCTGTTGTTGTTTTTTATTATATTTTTATCTATATGTTACAATCATAGTTATAATCATAATAAAACTTATTTATGCTAATTATAGTACCTACCGTGAATCTAATGATTCTAATGCTAGTTGAAGGATCGCTTCAACAGCCCCTATATATACTGCCTCAGGTTTAAAACAGTGAGACTTAGACAAATATTTAAAAGATAATAATGTAAGAGATATACCTCATATGATAATTTCATATTATGAATAACCTTTCTAAGAAGCTAGAAGCTACAGTTTGGTTCCAGAAAGACGATATTTGATTTTTATTTCCAAGCTAATCCTCACGACCAAAAATACTGAACAATTTTTTGCATTAAAATTTCATTTTCTATTTCATTCATGCTTGAAATTTGATTGTATGTGCTGATGAGTAATCATTTTCATTTCCAATTTTTTAGTTTGTTGACGATGACCATGTGCAGAAAATTAATAAAAGTTTATTGCAGGCCACCAGGAAAAATGAATAAGGAAGAATCGGCTCTGCCAGAGTCCGATGCTGTGCTGAATTGTCCTGGCTGCCTCACCATGCTCTGCACCGACTGTCAGAGGTTCTGAACTCTGACATATGGCAATAGACCCGTCTTTCATTCATATGCCTTAAATTTTATTCCCCAACTAGTAATAAATTAAACTTCGTTACCTTAGTGTTTTTTATCGTTGAAATGAATGTGGGTTTCTTACTGTGTTCTCATTATTATTCCGGGTTCATTCCAGGAAATATTTTGTATTGTGACAATGAGCATCCATACACTGATCTTACCACAGGCAAATGTCGATGATCGTAGGTACCGTACCTTTCCACAGGCACACGACCTTCAGCAACCAGTACCGCGCCATGTTTGTTTTCAACTGCCGGGTTGACTGCTCACAAAGGCTCAAGTTCCCCACCAAGATCACCAAAAGCGAACAGAAGAAGAATAAGAAAAAGGAGCGGCAACTGAGAAAAATGATGAAACGCCAAAGCGTCCAAGCTTTTGAGGAGGTAACAGCCAGTGATGATCTACCACGTCCGGTTCAAAGAGAAGAATACTTGAATTTGAAAGATGATGCATCGAGTAAAGAAGTTCAAGATTGTAATGATGCGGGCAAAAGTAGTGAGAATGAAATAATTGATAATAAAAGTGATGGGGAAATACCAATTGGCGATACCGGGAAATCTGATCAAGCAGAAACTGTCGGGAAGATAGATCAAATTTCGTCAATGGAGTTAGATGAAGATGTTCTGCAGATCAAGGATAGATGTCGTGAACAATCAACTGAACTTCAACGTGTTGGTAAGACGGAAAATTATTCGCCGAAAGTGAACAGTGGCGTCAAATACAATGGTGATGTGATAGCCTCGCCAGCTGATAGAACTTCTACCACAACGAAGTCGATCACAACAGAAATTAAGGTTTCTTCAGAGAAATTATCAACGAATCCTGACGCTGTTTGTGGCACACCAGGTATTCCAGGACCACAAAAAAGGAATTCGCTCAACTCGGTTGGACCTTCTAAAAAAGTTAGATTCGGTCACACAACTGAGAAAGAATCAACTCTTTGTTTCCCTTCTGCTGCTCTTCTCCAGTCGTCCACTGAAGAATTGTTCCACCCAGTCATGTGTCGACACTGCAATACTAAAGTTGCTGTGTTTGACAAAGATGAAATTTATCATTTCTTCAACGTGATTACTAGTTATTGAGAAGTAGGTTTAATAAAAGCTTGATATATTACGATTGGTTTTCATTAAAATTTCTTCTGCCGAGTACACTCGTAAAGTTTGTATTTTACTTAACATTGAATTTTAATTATTGTCAATATAATTCGAATCTATTGATAGATATATAAATTAAAACGGAGCTTAAAATGTATGTCTGAACGTCACGTTTCTGCTACTGAGCTGCTCCAGCTTTCTTTATCTTCTCTTTGGAATTATCTGTGCTGAAGTGAATAACCCTTACTGAGCTTGTGCGTAATTTTTAATAACGCATAAGTCTACGTTTGAACTGTCCACTTTTTTTTACTGGCGCGCAATAATCGATAGATACTAGATTTGCAAAAATATAGCAAAGCCGATGGAAAATGACTCCAAAATCGGCCCAAATGACTCCCTTATTTGTGGCAAAAATGTGAAATTTTTATGCTCAAATGGACGGCTTGATGCATTGTCACAGATGTCACTTGTAACAAGTTCGCGGTAAACCTATCATTTATAGAGTTAATCATTTGAGTTCAAATGATTAGTTTAACTAGTTAGTCTTCTATCGGGAGCGCAGCCGTGCACCACCAATTTGTGCACCAATAAGCCCTGAATCGAATGCCTTGGATCTCTCCGGACATCCACCAATCAGCCGTGAACCACTCGGCTTTGTCGTCCTCCGGCCTCTCATATAACCTGCCGTGCACCACCTGGCCGCTGATCGAATCAGACTTCCTGGGATCGTAGCCAATTTCCAAGAAGTGCTGCTTCTCTTGCTACCTGCTCTTCTAGTCGCGGCTAAATCACCAGTAGCAACTCAACTGAGAGACCTGGTTCATGTTGTTCAATGTTGTACTAATGACAGGTTTCAAAAGATTATGTTATTTCTAGGTTTTTTTGACCTCTTCAAATACATCATAATCAGTATTATGACTGATTATGAATTTTACATTCACCGCATCTGAGGTTAGGTTTCAGATAGCATAGTTCTGTTCCAAAATTTATCGTCCTTCAACAAGTGGCCGTTCGACCGAGAACTGGTTCGATCCACGGCCTGGATACGGACGGCTTGAAGTGTTGTGGGCAACGTTACGTAAGGCAGGAATCATGATGGTCCATTACATCCAGGGCAGTGGTGTTCTTCGCCAGGCGACCCCTTTTATCTTATGTTTAATATTATACCAGCTGGCCTAGCATTTTACCATAATAACAGGTTCGCTAATATTAGTTTGGCCGTCATAACCGAAAATGTTGCATCTGTTCTGGGAAAATTATATATGAATGCCTGTTTCATTGAAATTTCTAATTACTGATATTGGCAACTTGGCAAGTGTTTCTGTCCGAAGGCCCTGGACTGACTGTGTTAAGACGCTTGTACTAAGGAAGTGGAGGCTTTGAAAATATACAATAGCTATCGCCTGATAATTATGTTGATTTGTTTCGAAACTCGTCTCATGGACTAAGCAGTGAACTTTGTTTCCATTTAATTTGTTATTCTAGAGTAACTTTAAGAACTGAGATATAAATTTATAGGGTAACTTAAAAATGAGTTTGAAGTAACTAACGCAGTACATTCAATGCCGATGTTATTGCGACCGGCAAGGTGGCAGTGGTGTAGGTTTAGGTGGTGCTCTGTCATTTGTATTCTCTACGTTTATAAGCGTTAGTTGTCTGTTGGGATGACTTTCATAATGTAGTTCCTATACTCAGTATATATCTAGTTAACTCTCTTGCTCATATCAATTATTTCAGGTGAGAGGCTGAGAGCTTGAGATATCAATCATTTCTATGAAAGTTGAACTTGAAGCAACTTTTTCATAGCTCAAAGATTAAGCTTATCTAGTCCTACCGTCAAACGGGGTAAAAAGGGACAGGCGGGGTAAATCGGGACGCGCGTCATACATTTCGTAGAAATGTTGTAGCAGCTAAACTAATCAAAATATTGCAAAACTAAAAATAGTGGTGTAAACTTCAACATTTTTACTATCTATTATGCATAAAGCTAGTCAAGAAATCAAACATTTACTATCTCCAAAAAAATCTCTGAAAAAAAGTGTGATTTTGGAAAAGTACCTCTGCTAAGCTCTGGAGCAATAAAAAATATTTGCCCTATTAAAAAATTTTACTTACATTAAAGTTGCACCCTGGTGTCGGCTTGAAAATGTAATTGACGGAATTGTCCTATTCATTCCAAAAAAAAAAAATGGCAGCCATTTCTGCATGGCGGGCCCAGTCTGTAGAGTATGGCACAACATAGGTCAAGGACGCCGTTTTTNAATTGATTGCCCATGGTCTGGAAGGTGTTGCGACTTGCGTGGGCGCCGGAAGTTTACCATGCACACCACCAGTACGCCAGGGAAGAAAGTTGCCACTATGTTTGCTAGAAATACGAAAGTGCATCTCTGACCGATACCTGATGATAGCGCGTACTTGCACAATCAATGCGGAAGTTGCAAGATGATCGACATAGACACCCGCGCTTCACAATCAATGATCAACATAGACGCCCGCGCATTACGATCAATGCCCGACATGGATGCACGCATTTCACGATCAATGTGGCTGACGCTCACGCTTCGCGAATGATGTGGCATGATTGAAATAGATGCATGCATTTTACGATCAATGTGGCCGATGCCCAATAATCGATACTGAAGCTTGCGCTTCACGATCAATGAGGCATGATCGACACGGATGCATGCATTTTACGATCGATGTGGCCAATGCCCAATGATCGATTATGACGCTCGTGCTTCGCGAACGATGCGGCAAGATTGACATGGATGCAAGCATTCTGTGATCGATGTGGCCGATGTCCAATGGTAAATTCCGATGCTCACGATTCGCGAACGATGCGGCATGATTGACATGAATGCAAGCATTCTACGATCGATGTGTCCAATGCCCAATAATTGATTCCGACGCTCACGCTTCGCGAACGATGCGGCATGATTGACATGAATGCAAGCATTCTACGATCGATGTGTCCAATGCCCAATAACCGATTCCGACGCTCACGCTTCGCAAACGATGCGGCATGATTGACGTGGATGCACATATTTTATGATCGATGTGGCCGATGCCCCATGATCAATTCCGACGTTCACGATTCGCGATTGCTGCGGCATGACTGACATATATGCACGCATTTTACGATTGATGTGGCCGATGCCTCATGATCAATTCAGATATTCACGATTCGGGAATGGTGTGCATGATTGACATGAATGCAAGCATTCTACGATCAATGTAACCAATGCCCATTGCCCAATGATCGATTCTGACACCCAAGCTTCGCGAACTATGCGGCATGATCGACCCAGATGCACGCATTTTACGATCAATGTGGCTGAGTCTCGCTTCGCGATCGATGCGGCATGATTGACATGGGTGCACGCATTTTACGGTCGAAGTGGCCAATACCCCATAATCGATTACGACGTTCACGATTAGCGAACGATGCGGCTTGATTGACATGGATGCACGAATTTTACAATCAATGTGACCAATGCCCAATGATTGATTCCGATGCTCATGCTTCGCGAACGATGCAGCATGATTATGGCAGGGTGGCCCAGTGATTAAAGTTCTGAGTACCAGGATTGACGCGGGTTCTATCCCAGCTCTGTGCGCCAGTCTCTGGTCAGAATTGGCAAGGAGGTCGGGCGGTTAAGCACAGCAGAATTGTAGCAGTGAGTTGCGAGTTCGAGACCACAAGATGCTGTGAATGTTCTGCGATGTTAAGAATCGGCGACAGGCCTATCACTGAAAGAAAAAGGCCCCCCGTTTTGAAACACTTGAGTGTTTCAAAACCTCTCGAGCTTGACGCGCTTATATTTGTGCGGCTAGGGTCGCATGGTCAGTGCGCCGAACGCTGTCATAGGAGGAGGTTGTGTGGAGCCGCCGCTCATGAATGCCACGAATCTACACTGCTTACGGTAAATTGACCCAACTCAATTCGTTTAATTGTTTCAAATCACTGCTGTTCTTTTGTCAATAGTAATGTTAACGAGCGACATCTATACCATTCACTCACACTAGAAGTTGATAATAAAATCAAAGATTTATTCTGATAGTACCGCGCGCAAGACAAAACCAATACTGCAGCTCTATGTAGTTGCCGTCTCCGTAGCCGAGTGGACTAAGGCGCCTGCTCGCGAGCGTTTGGTTGCAGTCTTGGCAGAGGTTCGAATCTCGGCGGGCGACTCATAGTTTCTTCAACCACAGTTCGATAGAGGTGAGAGCAAAGAGTTTAGTTTCATGATGATTGTACATACCAATAAAATTGTGTAATAAATATGTGTATGAAATAATGAATATATGACTAATTTTGCTGTGAAGGAGAAAAGCGTTTAAATCAGATAAATACGGATGAATATAATTTTCATAATTTTGGTATTGAGGCAGCCATGGATTAAACTGCGATCGACCGGAGGAGCAAAATATATTAAAATAATTTTGTCAGGCGCTGGAAACTGGACAAGGATATTGCATAAATTCTGAAAATAAGGTTTCATTCTCCGTAGACTTCCCGTGTTCCACCGTTGAAACACCTAAGTGTTTCAAAATCGCAAATTTTGAAACACCTGAACGTTTTTGAAACACCCGGGTGTTTCGGTTTGGGCACGATCGCTCGGGGAGGATTTGAAACACCCAAGTGTTTCAAAACAGGGGGCTTTTTTCTCTCAGTGATGCACTGAGAGAAAAAGGCCCCCCGTTTTGAAACACTTGGGTGTTTCACGAACGGGTGTTTGAACGGGGTCTCAAACGGGTGTTTGAAATACTTGGGTGTTTCAAAACCTCTCGAGCTTGACGCGCATATACAGTATTTATGCGGCAAGCGTCGCGTGGTCAGTGCGCCCAATGCTGTCAGAGGAGGTGGTTGTGTGGAGCCGCCGCTCATGAATGCCACGAATCTATACTGCTTACGGTTAATTGGCCCAACTCAATTCGGTTAATTGTTTCAACTCACTGCTGTTCTTTTGGCAATAGTAATGTTAACGAGCGACGTCTATACCATTCAATCGCACAAGA